AAAAGTATGACTTTTGTTTTATTCTGTTTTTCGAGACAGGATTTCTCTGTACGACTCTCTGATTGTCCTGGAAGTAGCTCTTGTTTGTTTGTTTGTTTTTTGAGACAGGGTTTCTCTGTGGCTTCGGAGCCTGTCAGGAACTCACTCTTGTAGACCAGGCTGGCCTTGAACTCACAGAGAGCCACCTGCCTCTGCCTCCCTGAGTGCTGGGATTAAAGGTGTGTGCCACCACCGCCCGGCAGTAAAACCTGACTTTAGTGGAAGCCCATGCAGGCTCTTGGGTACTGTCATTCTTTCTGAGATCCTGTCTTTCTCTTAACCCTTCTGCTGAAATATTTTAAAGTATCTTCAATAAACCCTCACTCTGCTTCATATTGACTAATTCAAAAATTATTTTTCACATTGAAGCCAAGGATCTAGTTTTACCTAACTAGAGTCCCCTAAAAGATTAAGGGTGTAGTACCCAGCCATGACACGCCGTGACAATAGAGGTCCCAGTCTCAGTAGTTTACCCTGGTTCCAAGAGAGACCACCCAGAGGCCACTCAGGAGCAGACCGTGCAAAGGAAATTCCTAACATTCCAAGCATTGTGGATATGCCAGCACACACCCATTGCTTTTCACCAGGACACCCCTAGATAACTGTCAGCCAATCAGGTGTTCTAAATCTTAGAAATCAGATTTAGAAATCTTAGAAATCAAAGGTTGAGACCACAACCTTTGCTATTATAAAAACTAATCCCAACTGAGCTTCGGGCTCTCCAATCACGCCAATACATTAAACACATGGCAAGCCTGAGTTCATAAACTTGTGTAAGAATAAAGGCTCTTTGCTTTTACATACAGGATTCAGTCTTCTAGTTGGTTCAGGGCGGGGGGGGGGGCTCCATGATCTGGGCATAGCAAAGGGAAACTCCTCATGCAACTGGAAGTGACAGCATGGAGCTGTGTCTTTTGTCTGTCGTTGCTGTTATGGGGACACATGAGCTGTCAACCAACCTGAGGCAGGGCAGAACTTCTGGCTTTGGGCACACAGTACTCGGGGAACAGCAAGACATTTGGGAGGGAGGTGCTAAGGACAGGAGAAGTATCCAAGATGTTATTACAAGTCCCCCAAACCTGCCAGCTGCCAGGGAAAAGAATTCACACAACACATCAAAACAACCCACTCTTTGCCTACCTGGACATCAGGTTCTTCTGACAAGGACTGTACCTCCTGGAATGAGTAGAGCCTGCTGTCCAGTTAGGGAATCCGGGGGTGGGGGCAGCTCCTAGAACCCCTCGGACCTAGGGTCCCTTGGTTTCCAGACCCGCCCTCTTCAACTGCCATCCATGGAATCTACCCTGCCCCAAAGCTCTAGGCTCCGTTAAAGGGCCAGAGGTTCCTCTGCCCCTGTTGCAGGGCTCAGCATTCCCACTGCTGGGCTGCTCCTCAGCCCCGGCAAAGCATCTCCTCTCTGAGTTTCAGTGGTCCATGATTCCTAAGGAAATAGTCTTCACTTGGCAACATTTGGCTTCCTAAAAATTTCAATCCTGTAGCAGGGGATGGTTTTAATCTCAGCTCTGCCACAATTAGACTCCCAGCTCTGTTCACTTGAGATGCTCGCTTCCAAACAGTTTCTTATCACTATCCATCCATCCACCCACTGACTTCTTCCCCACTCAACTGCAGGGGGTTCCTGAAAGTGTCAAGGCAGGCAGGGAAATGGACCACAAAGAGGTGAGAATAAAACTTGGTTCAGCCTGACTTTGTCAGTCTGAATTAAACTTCAGGAGTCTGATGCCAGGCAGTTTATTGCAAACATATTTAAACTCAGCCCAATTTGGAAAAAAAGTTTCCAGGCAACAATCACTCCAATTCCAAGTGCACACATAGTAAAGCTTAAGGCTAGACTACGTAGAAACTCCTTCGCAAAGTACATGTGACCTTGAAGGTAGGTTCTTTAGCTTAAAGGCCTAGGACCTGAGATAGCAGATAGCATAGAGGTCAGGACGTTTCCCCTAAGGATAGCTCCAGTAACTAAGAGCTACAGATAAAGGTTTAGGAAGGAAGAGTCTGTGGTAAACTTTCTGGAGATTTGAGTCTGGCAGGGTAGCAAAAGCCACCAGGTCTCTGGGAGGTGGTGGTGCACGCCTTTAATCCCATTCCCCCGGAGGCAGAGGCAGGTGGATCTGAAAATTCTAGGCCAGCCTGGTGTACGAAGTGAGTTTCAGGACAGCCAGGACTGTTTTGCAAAGAAACCCCTTCTGGAAAAACAAAACAAACAAGTCACCAGGTCCTTGCCCAGCTTTCTGGGTAGGAAGCAGGTTTTCTGTTTCTTCCGTTGTGGAGCCATCCCAACAGTCCTGGTTTCCCTAGTGCTACAAGATCTGCCTGCCTCTGCCCGAGTGCTGGAATTAAAGGCGTGCGCCACCATCCGGCTCTAAATAAATAGATCTTAAAAAAAAAAAAGCCGGGCAGTGGTGGTGCACGCCTTTAATCCCAGCACTCAGGAGGCAGAGGCAGGTGGATCTCTGAGTCTCTGAGGCCAGCATGGTCTACAAGAGCTAGTTCCAGGGCAGGCACCCTGTCTTGAAAAAAAAAACAAAAAAAAATTGTTCCCTGAAGCAGTTTACCAATTACCAATTCACCCCTGGTCAAAGTCTGGTTATCATGAATCAATATTGTCCCTCTTCTGTGGTCCTCATTCTCACTCAGCAAAGCAGAGAGGATGATGATGATGGAGACAGGATTTCACATAGCTCAGACTGGTCCTGAACTTTCAATATAGTCAAGGATAACCTTGAATTTATCAACTTGTCTCTGCGTCCCTGAGTGCTGGGAGATAGGGATGTGGCACTGCTCCCACTTTAGGTGGTGCTGGGGATTGAACACAGGTTTGTGCAGGCTAGGCAAGCACTCTACCAGCTGGGTTATCTCTCCAGCCTTAGCGCGCGCGCACACACACACACCGTGTTTGAGAGTTTTGAGATAGGTTCTCTCTATGTAGTACTGACTGTCCTGGAACTCACCACATCAGCCAGGTCAACCTCGAATTCGCTCAGTTCTGCCTGCTTCTGGTTCCCTGGAGTTGGGGATTAAAGGCTCGTGCCACCATGCCTACCTAGCTAGAGTTCTTATTTTGTTGATGACTCTGTCCTCCTGTATTACATGGATTCAGGGTTTGTGCTATGACAACAACGGTTTATTTTCCCACTAATACCAGAAGGCTGCTTCCTGTGGGAAGACATTCAGATGCACTATAAGTGAAGGTTGGGAATCTGAGGGTTCTGGGTCAGGACCCCTCATCCTTTGTGCCGCCTAGGTTGGTCTTGAATTCAATATGTAGCTGAGGATGACCTTTAAAGTTCCGGTCCTCCTGCCTCTAGCTCCCTAGCGTTGTGAACGCACGGACACTTGGTTTATGAGTGTTGGGGATTGAAGCCAGGACTTCTGGGCTTTGCATGCACTCTACCAACTGAGCTACGTCCCCAGACCTGCATTCTTAGCAGTTCCCCTGACCGGAATTTGGAAAAGGCTACATCTTAGGCATTGCCAGGATGAGGATGAAAGTGGATGGGCTTGAATGTTATCGGAGGCAGAGGGAAGTTCAGAATTAGGTTTGGTTTCCAGTCCAGACAGCTAGGCAGATACGGAGATGCTGTTCTTACCACCTTACACTCTGCTCCGTCCAGGCCTTCTAGGGATCTGGCCTGTTAGGCACACAGTTCCCTATGAGCTGTTTCTGTGCCCTCTTTGGAAGGGGATTCTAGGCCAACTGCCAGTCTTCTGTCACTCCTACAGCTATGGCAACCACACACATTCTGAGCTTCAAAGGCTCAGACCCTCTGCACATATTTGCTATTCCCACATTGGAAAATAAGAGGCTGCACAGGCCACCTACAAGATTCTAAGACCACCGTTAGGCAGTGAAGCGAGAGGGTGGAGCCTGGCTCCTGGTTCTCCTTATATCCCTGTGTCCTCTCTGGGTCTTTCCTCCATTAGTGACAAAAGTAGAGGTGGCCCACAGGAGAGAGGGCTGGGAATACTTTTTGTTTACTTCAGGGCAGCCTGCCGGCCAGGAGCTGACTTATGAAAATGAGAATTACAGTGAAGATCGAGCCTTTAAAATGGCCATATGTGGGGCTGGAGAGATGGCTCAGCGGTTAAGAGCATTGCCTGCTCTTCCAAAGGTCCTGAGTTCAATTACCAGCAACCACATGGTGGCTCATAACCATCTGTAATGAGGTCTGGTACCCTCTTCTGGCCTTCAGACACACAGAAAGAATATTGTATACAAAATATATATATATGTGAGCCGGATTGTAGTGGATGCTGAGCCGTCTGGAATGTGAGCTCTGGGCAACTAAGTTAAGGGGCAATTGATTGGTGCAGTGGTTCCAGAGGCGTGCATAGCTAGATAACCGGGAGCCCCCGTGTTAGAGACACTTGCCTTTGGGGACCACATTCTTGTTTATCTTCTATGTCAGGAAGTCATCTCTTGTCAGCATGTAGGGTTGCTTTTTCCTGCCTTCCCTGACCACTGCTGCAGAACTCTCTTTAGCTGCGATAATTTTTAAGACCCTTTTCTGAGTATGGGACCGCTCAGCACAGCTTCCATGTCGCCCAGCACAGAGGAGAGAGGTAAGTGTATCCAACTTGAACTGTGTCTTGCAGCGGCAGGAAGCTCCCGCCCTGCGGTAGGTTAGGGAAGCTGCAGGAGCTCCGGACTTCCGGTCGTCCATCTGAGGCACCAAGAGGGTTCCCAAGATCTCAGGGCAGACACAGGCCAGGATGGCCACGCTGTAATTATCAGCTTAGCGACACAGCCTGGGACAACAGGAGAATCACAAAAACACATTCCCCATCCTTCACTGTAGACACCATGGGTCTACAGCCTCGGAATCCCAGGAGTTGTCAAACAGGAAGCGAGAGCAGCAAGCGGCCCCTTTAAGGCACTCCGCCTCCTCTAATTTTTCTGACCCTCGTCGCCGCCCGTTGCCCCGCCCCCTCGCGCACGCGCACTCCCTCCCGCCTACCGCGCCGCTGCCGCCTAGTACAAGAGCTCGTCTGCTCTCGCGCCCAGGGCGAGTCGACGCGACGCCTGAGCGCCCGGCCCTGTCGCCGCGGCCCCGGCAGGTAAGAGGGTGACCCGGCTCTGTGGGCTCGAGGCTGGCGGCGGCCACGAGGAACCGCAGGCTCCGGGATCCACTACGCCGCACGTGTTCCATGGGCCTCGGGCCGGGCCCGGCGCCGCGTCTGCGGCCGCGCCCCGACCCCACAGCCCCTTGTGGTCGTCAGGGCCTCCTCCCCCCACGCCACCCCCCGCCGCTCCCCCAGACCCTTAGTCGTGCGAGGTCCTCGAAGCCCACCTCGGGCTGGCGTCCCTGGGCGTGGGGTTCACGGTCTCATCGGGGACACCCAGCCAGTATCACCCAGGTTTCCTTGGCCGCTTGGCGCCTCTCTTGTGTTGCCAGCACAACCTTCACCTGAGTTCCCGTCCAAGTTTCTACCAGGCCAGGCCTCTCTCTGGTCAAGCATTTGTAAGCCTTGTCGGGGTCAACTAGGCAGGTGAGCGCATACAGTGATGTGAAGCCGGGGCTACTAGGACCAAGTTATCTAGGAATCCAGAGAGGATGGGTTGGAGCTCTTTGTTGGGTTGACCAACTGCAATTACCGGAGTGACTGAAATATACTGTCTCTCCATATTTGTGCACTCGGTGTCTTGGGTGGCATCCGGGAATCTGCATTTGATTGGAGGGAGAGTGGTGGCTCACTCTAGTATAAAGCTGTGACTGTGACTGTCAAGTTGACCACCTTCTTGTGGGCAGTGGTCACCAGCCCCAAACCACCTGCTGACTGTCCTGTCTAACAGACCTCCCTCTCAGAGCTGCCCTCCCCCTATCCTGCTGGCCTGTAGGCTTAAAACTTGACTCTCTGTCTGGGACTCCAGCTATTGGAATCGGAAATTGATGATTTCTTTTGAGGCAGGCTCCTGTAGATGCTGGCCTCATTCTTAACTGGTTTAAACTCCTGAGCCTCTTGCATCCTGAAAGCTGTGAGGCTGTCTGGCTAAATCCTCCTGCCCCACGGGGTGTTTCTGTGTAGCTCTCAGTTCGTTTTGTAAACCAGGCTGGCCTTGATCTTCCTGTCGGTCTCCCAACTGTGGGCTAATGGATGCTCCACCACACCCAGTCTTTTTTTTTTTTTTTTGGTTTTTCGAGACAGGGTTTCTCCGTAGCTTTTGATTCCTGTCCTGGAACTAGCTCTTGTAGACCAGGCTGACCTCGAACTCACAGAGATCCGCCTGCCTCTGCTTCCCGAGCTCTGGGATTAAAGGCGTGCACCACCACTGCCCGGCTGAAAGGGACTTTCTCTTTTCATTGTTTTCAGCCTCAATTCCTCCTGCTACCATTTTTTTTCAAAATATTCTTTATGTATACAATGTTCTGTCTGCATGTATGTGCTGTCTGCTTGTACACCTACAGACCTGAAGGGCACCAGATCTCATAAATGGTGTGAGCCAACGTGTGGTTGCTGGGAATTGAACTCAGGACCTTTGGAAGAGCAGCCAGTGACTGCATTGTATGGTTCTGTCAATCAGCCTCTGAGCTCATTTTCTTACATCGTCAGTGAACAGTTATGTTATATGAATGAGGCTGTCTTAGTATTAGTGAACTCTAAGATAGGACTCCAACCTTTCATTGGTGTAGTTTGCTTTTAACCACTTAAACCATCTCTCCAGCCCCCTTTGTGGTCAACAAAATTAGTGGTTATGGCCATAGTATGGCCAAATTTCCATTAAGTATAAGTTCCGGGTCAGGCCTGGTGGTTGGTGTATGCCTGTTATACCAACTGTACTCTGAGGCTAAGGCAGGAGGTTTTTTATATCAGGTACATAGCTAAGGCCTGTCTCAAAACTAAAAACACCAAGCAGCTGGTATTTTCTGGGCACTAGAGTTTTATTCCCTGGAGAGACCTATGGGACCTACCCTCCTCCAATCCTTGCACCTGGGCTTGATGGAGTTGGCTGCCAGGTAAAACAGCTTGGCAGCTCCTGTGCCCTGTGTAGTGGGTGTTGTTACTGTTCCTTCCTCTAGGATTGAAGACTTTGAGACAGACATGCTTTTTTGTTTGTTGGGGGGCATTTGTCTTAGTCTTACTAAGTAAGCAAGCGTGAGGTTTCCGGTTTAATTGCAAAGCTAGAATTTACATCATGCTTCTTCCTCACATTGATTGAGGAGTCCACATCCAGCGATGTTTACAAGCATGTCTTAGTTGCTTTTCTTTGAGAGGTGCTGTTCATTGCACAGCCACATGGTGTGCTTTTGTGCGTGGCATTCAGGTGATGGACCTATTGCTGGATGCTGTTAGCTGTTGCAGGGGCTCGCATTTCAGGCAGGTGCTGTCGAGCTGATCAGAGTAATTGTTTTCCTCTGTGCTGCAGCATGCATCTAGTCTGCAGTCTCAACGCTGCTCTGGCTGATCCTCCAGAGGAAACCTGGACAGTAGCCACTCTGGTTTACTCTTGGAGCTCTTATAGTGCGATGTGCACTGAGCCCTTGAGCTCTTAGCATTCTAGAGAGCAGCTTTTGCATTTGCAACCTGTGAGGTCAAAGGAAGCCACTGGGTGCATACTCCCCTGTCTCTACGGTCAGGCTCCTTGGGTACATTTTACAAGCCCCACACTCTTGCACAGAAGGGCCACCTCTTGTCAGAGAGCCTTTTTAAAACTGTCTAAGGTGCTTTGAAGCAAAGCTCACTGGATACAGCAGTGGGGAAGCTTTCTTGAGGGTCAAGTCTTCCTTAGGCTCACAAAGGGGTCAAGCAGGTCACATCACACTGCATCTGAAGCTTCAGCCTTGAGTAGGGTGATAGTTATCCCTGGCGAGAATTGCTGTTTTTTTTTTTATTTGGGGGCATGTTAGGTGAATGCTTTCTCACTGAGTTATTACAGCTCAGTCCCTACAACCTTTTTGTTGTTTTGAGGCGGGGGTTTTTCTGAGTGGTCCTGGCTCTACTAGAACTTGCTCTATCGACCAGTCTGGCCGAAAACTCAGAGATCCACCTGCCTCTTCATCCCAAGTGTTGAGATTAAAGGCATGTGCCACCGTGCCTGGCCAAATTTATTTTATGTGTATGTTTTTGTTTGTTTTGTTTTTTTGCCTGCGTGTATGTCTGCATACCACATGCATGTAGTCCCTACAGAGGCCCAAAGAGGGTGTCAGGTCCTCTGAACTGGACTTAGAGATGGTTTTAAGCCCATAGAATCAAATGCAGGTCCACTGGAGCAGCATCCAGTCCTCTCCCAATAACTTTTTTTTTTTCTGATTTTTTGAGACAGGGTTTTTCTCCATAGCTTTTTGGTTTCTGTCCTGGAACTAGCTCTTGTATACCAGGCTGGCCTCTAACTCATAGAGATCGCCTGCCTCTGCCTCCCGAGTGCTGGGATTAAAGGCGTGCGCCACCACCGCCCGGCTCCCAATAACCTTTCTAAAGAGAGGATTTATTTATAGGCCCTTTACTGTAGAGTACGCTTTAGCTGACAGCCTCTTCCACTGTGACTCCCCTTCACTGTGTCCTGCCCGGTGGGCTCCAGAACAGAGCCATGGCCACAGAGGAGAAGAAGCCAGAGACAGAAGCTGCGAGAGCACAGCCCACCCCTTCCTCCTCAGCCACGCAAAGCAAGGTATGTCCCACAGGGACCACTGGCTGTGCCCAGTGAGGTGTGCTGCCTATATGTTTCTGCCCACACAGCAGTGGTCAAATAGAGCCATGTGCTGGATGTCATCAGATTCCCAGACCTAAGATGGTGGGGCTGGGATTAAACACGAAAGTACAGCTGGTTTTGAGGTGGGGTCTTCCTGTAGGCCTGGTTGGTGAGGAACATAACATGTACACCAGGCTAGTTTTGAACATATACGGATATGCCTGCTTCTGCCTCCCTCTCCCCTTTGTGTGCTGGATTTAATTTAAAGACATGTACCACCACACTTGGCCAAAAAATTACAAATTCTTGGTATGTTGAGGTGGGGACTCCAAAGGAAGTATGGACTTTGTAGAGAAGGATAGGCTCCTGCTGAAAAGTTTGAAGGGTGACATCAGATAAGATTGTAGTCAGTTCTTTTGTGTGAGTTTGAACAGTTAATACTAAATATGCTTTGGGCATCAAGTGAGTTGGTTGGGTGGTGGTAGTTGCCTCTGGCTAAGTTGTACTGTTTCCTATAGCCCACACCTGTTAAGCCAAATTATGCTCTGAAGTTCACCTTGGCTGGCCACACAAAAGCTGTGTCCTCTGTGAAGTTCAGCCCCAATGGGGAGTGGCTGGCAAGTTCATGTGAGTATCCTTCAGCTGAGGAAGGGGTTTGGTGATGGGGGGCATTGACTGTTACTTCTTACTGCTCCCACAAGTTACTGGTCAGCTTGTAATTGCCTATTTATATGCTCTTGCCGCTCACTGTACCATGAGTGGCTCTCTGTGCACACTTACTTCTCTGAGTGACCTAGGCCCTCTGTTTTAGGGGAAATGGTCACAACCTTTTCTTTCATTTTATTTTTGGTTTTTGGAGACACAGCTTCTCTGTAGCTTTGGAGCTTATCCTGGAACTAGCTCTTGTAGGCCAGGCTGGCCTTGAACTCAGAGAGAGGTCCTGCTTCTGCCCCCAGTGGTGGGATTAAAGGCTGGTAGGATTAAAGGCATGTGCTGCCACTGCCCAGCTGTCACAACCTTTTCTTTCTTTCTTTCTTTCTTTCTTTCTTTCTTTCTATTTATTTATTTAGTATACAGTATTCTGCCTGCATGTATGCCTGCAGGCCAGAAGAGGGCGACAGATCTCATTACAGATGGTTGTGAGCCACCATGTGGTTGCTGGGAATTGAACTCAGGACCTTTGGAAGAGCAGGCAGTGCTCTTAACCTCTGAGCCATTTCTCCAGCCCCCTGTCACAACTTTTTCTAACTCCAGCTTCTTTACATTTCTTTCCAGCTGCTGATAAACTCATTAAAATATGGGGAGCATATGACGGAAAGTTCGAGAAAACCATCTCTGGTCACAAACTGGTAGGTTTCCTGTGAGGTGTATTGGTTGCCATGTCTGTTCTGGCATTTTGTAGATCAGGCTGGCCTTGAACTTGGAGGTCTGGCTGTTCTGACCTCCTGAGCTTAGGAATTGCAGGTGTGCACCACCACCTGCCTTGTCAGGCCTGTCTTTAAGACTGATGGGTGCAGGGTTTTATGTAGTTCAGGGAATCAGGCTTGCACTACCACACCTGGCTGACTTATATTTTTAGTGCGAACACTTTAAGCCTCCACAGGTGAATCAGTCTAGGAAGCCTGGCAGAGCTGAGAGTAGTGACCTTTTGCCCTAAGTCAGGTGTCTTATGCTAATACTGGCTGGCTAGAAGATTTCCTGAGGGCATGGTTCATAGATAGGTAATGCTGATTTTTTATTGGTCATTTGGGTTTTGATCCATTAAGTGGTAATCAACTTTTTTTCCTTCCCAAGGGTATATCTGATGTAGCCTGGTCGTCAGATTCTAACCTCCTCGTGTCTGCCTCTGATGATAAAACTCTGAAAATATGGGACGTGAGTTCTGTAAGTGACACTGGTCTTCCCAGGGAGTACCTATAGTTGAGATGAGTTGGATGTGTGCATGGTTGATCTTGGGGAGGTCTTCAGATGTACCGGAAGTCCAAGAATTGTATCTGGGGAAAATATAGCCCCTGGGAATCATTGAGCTTGGTGTGCTCCATTCTAGGGAAAGTGTCTGAAGACCCTGAAGGGCCACAGTAACTATGTCTTCTGCTGCAACTTCAACCCCCAGTCCAACCTCATCGTCTCAGGGTCTGTAAGTGCGTGGGTCTCTCCTGGGGGGGCAGGGAGGGCAGCTGATGTGTCCAGTGTTACATATTGGTGTTCAGGGTGGGGACACGGTTTGAGTCTCAGGGACTACACTGTTGCTGCCCCTCTGTTCCTAGAGTCACTTTAATGTCCTGTCTCATCTTTAGTTTGATGAAAGTGTGAGGATATGGGATGTGAAGACAGGGAAGTGTCTCAAGACTTTGCCTGCCCATTCGGACCCAGTCTCAGCCGTAAGTTCTCCTAGCATCCACTCAGCGGTTCCTCTACGTGGGGTGACCTTATTTACTCACGTGCAGCATCCAGATGACCAGAGGCTAAGACATTGTTTGGCCCTGTGAGCTGTAGTAGGTGGGTGGGGTACAGTGGGGAGCCTCATGGGGAACTTTGTGGGTTGGAAGGTAGATGACCAGGGGTTTTCTTTGTGTAACAGCCCTGACTGTCCTGGAACTCACTCTGTTCTGCAGACTGACCTTGAATTTAGAGATCCTCCTGCTTCTGCCTTCAAGTGTTGGGATTAAAGGCGTGCGCCAGCACCTCCAGGCTAAGTAAAGAGACTTTTGAGTAGAGTAGCTTTAATTAGTGAGTATGGTGGCATCCTAGGGTTTCTATTACTGGGATAAAACCCAGTGACAAAACAACCCTGGAGTGTGTAAGTTTGGGTTACTATTGCTATAATGAAACACCATGACCAAAAGCAGGTTGGGAAGAAAAGGTTTATTTGGCTTGCACTCTAAACATCATAGTCCACCACTGAAGGAAGTTAGGACAGGGACTTAAGCAGGCTGGAATCTTGTTGCAGGAGCTGATGCAGAGGCCACAGAAGAGTGAGTGTTGCTTACTGACTCGCTTTTCTTATCTTGTTCAGCCTGCTTACTCAGAACCCAGGACCACAAGCCTAGGTCCTCCCTCATCAGTCACTAAGAAAGTGCCCTATACAGACTTGCCTACAGCTCAGTGTTACAGAAGCATTTCCTCATTTGAGGCTCCCTCCTCTCTGCCTCTAGGTTGTGTCAAGTTGACAGAAAAATAGTGTGGGGAGCAATTTTTTTTTTTTTGACACAGTTTCTCTATGTAGCTCTTGGCTATAGAACTCACTGTGTAGACCAGACTGGCTTTGGACTCAAAGAGGTCCATCAGCCTCTATGCCTTAGGGTTTCTATTGCTATGAAGAGACACCATGACCAATGCAACTTTTTTTTTTTTTTTTTTTTTTTTTTTTTTGTGGGTAGGGGTTTCCCAACAGGGTTTCTCCATGTAACAGCCCTAGCTGTCCTGGAACTAACTCTTGTAGACCAGGCTGGCCTCAAACTCACAGAGATCTGTCTGCTTTTGCCTCCCGAGTGCTGGGATTAAAGGCGTGCAGCACTGCCTGGCCCAGCTCATCTCTTCTAAGGAAAACATCGAATTGGGCTGGATGACAGGCAGGAAGTATGGCAGCATGCAGGCAGAGTTGGTGCTGGAGAAGAAGCAGAGAACTCTTTATCTGGATAGATAGGCAGTTAGAAGAGAATGACACTGGGCTTGGCTCAAGCATTTGAAACCCCAAAGCCCACCCCCAGTGACACACTTCCTCCAATAAGGAAGGCCATATCTCCTAATATTTGCTGTGTCTCACCTCCAGCAGAGAGTCCTGTTAATTGGTCCAAGGCGGTTCTGGGTACCATGTGCACTTGCTAATTTTCTTCTCCAAGGTGCTACCTGCACATTAGCTGCATGGAATTCAGGTGCCCATATCAACTCCTAACCCCATAATGTCCTGATAGGAACTTGTTTTGGGTATTAAAGAGAGGGATGAATGTGGGTAGTTGGGTTATCTTGAATTAAGGAAGGAGGCCTAAGTGCTCACAGTTATGGTTGAGTGGCTATTTGGGATCTGACATGTACTTATAGCAGTAGAAAGTGACCTCTGGTTCCAGTGCTGTAGAGTGCAGCTTGGTCTGTCAGGTCCATGATGGCAAGAGTCCCTGGAATCTAAAGGTTGCTTGTTTTTCTGCATGCCTGTGAGCCTAGCACTTAGGAAGCATGTCACCACACCAGGCACTGAGAGTTCATCTGTAAAAGCTTTGTCTTCAGCCACACCTGCGGAATACTCTGTGAAAGTTACAGAAATTCTGGAGATGTAGGCCACTTAGATGTTTGCCCAACCTACACCAGTCTTTGGGTTTTGTCACCATATGACATAAGTACAGGCATAGTGATATACACCTGTAATCCCAGCACTTTGGCAGAAGCAGAAAGATTAAGGGATAAAAGTTACAGCTACATAGTGAATTCAGAGTCAACTGCTGTTACCTAAGGTCCCATAGTGGTCTGAGTCTCATGGCTGGTCTGTCCCACTGAGCATCTGGAGTGGCAGTGATCTGGGTATCAGGACTCAGGCTTAGTGAGTGAGTACCACAGCACCTGGGGACTACTCAAGACACTGACTTCTTCAAAGTCTTGCTTTTTGCTAGTGGGAAAAGGTCTGTCCCGTCACCCCCTCCCACCCCCACCCCCCTTGTATTGACCTTGTTGGGTGCGCAAAGGGAAGGTGTGTGTTAAGTTCTGTGGGTAGGATGCTGTTGGAATCCAGAGCCACATGCTACTGATTAGGAAGTCAGCTGCTTTTCCTCTCATTTGTAGGTTCATTTTAACCGTGATGGATCGTTGATCGTATCTAGTAGCTACGATGGCCTCTGGTAAGTGAGAGTCTTCACTAGTGAACAAATGTGTATGGCCTGTTGTGCTGTTGTTCCAGCTCTGGTATAGCAAAAAGAGAAGGGACATGTGCCTCACCTGTGCCCCTCTGGTTGTAGGTCATTGCAGACATGTGTTATAGAGTCCAAGGGGTGAAAAGCTGTAAAAGGAGGTGGTGGAGGTGATGGCTGAGAGGCGAGACCACCCAGGGCGAGGTTGAGAACTGAGAGCTCTTTCCATACCCCTGTGTGAGTGCCCTTCCAAAGTTGTAGAAAGATAGTAAAGGGGTCAATCCTTTTGGTAAGTGCAGTGGCCCTGTCCACAGAACCCATGAATTCTGGGCAGGTGAGTCAACCAGGTCCCGTTGTGGAAGAGAGAAGCCAGGGGTGTGGTCTGCAGAGCTTATAACAGAGCATGCCATTGTCGATCTGACTGCTAGGTAGAAGTTCTCAGGGTCCTTTGAGGACAAGGGGAGTGTAGGGCACAGGAGGCAGACTTGAGAGTACAGTGCTGGGAGATCACTGCTGATGTTCTGTGTTGAGCAGTGATGGGGCTGATAGAGAATGAGGTGAGTGAAGCACAGAGTTGGTTTATGGCAGGGGTGATGGGCTCGTTGCACACCTCACTAAAGGCCATCTATGACTTTGAGGCTAAAAGACCTTGGATGCATTTAAATATACCTAAAATTAGAGATACTTAAAAGGAAGTGTTTGAGCAGGGCAGGTGACTGGAATCTCCACAGCAAAATCCCAAGAACTGATTTGAAGGATAGGACAGGGAAGAGTGGCCTGGAGTGAACCAAAGGAGCTAGAAACTTCTGTGCCCCAAGCAGAGCTATGACCAAAAGGCAGAGAGTAAAATCTAAACATAACAGAAGGTGACTTAAATTTTTACTTATTTTTTTGTGGTGCTGCAGGTGGAACCAAGCTTTGCAGTTGCTTAGTTGGAACTTTGCCACTTTGAACAGGCCAGGCTGGGACTTAGTGAAGCCCATTGGCAATATTATTTGTTTACTGGACATATATAGAGTGATGTGAACTAAACATTTTCTTTTACTTTGGGGGTGGCACAAACTTTACCAAAAAGATAGTTCTCACAAAAGAAAGATAAAGCCCTTAAAGCTATTTCATTTCTGCCAGTCTGTGTTTACTGTGCTGTCTCTGTTATAGGCAGAGTGGCCCCAAGAGACTTAAGGTAGAAGTACACTTGAAACTTGAATTTTCGAGAATGAGTCCAGTACATGGGAGGTTGGGGAAATGGTAACAGGAGAACCACAGGTCTGTGAGAGTGGGTTGGCTGAATTCCCAGACGCCAGTCTGCAACCAGCACACAGCCCCATCGTGGGACTGGATATGCTGATGGGCAATGACTACCTGAGCTCTGGCTCTTGTTTGGCATGGTGCACCTGACTCTGCCCAGGTGGTTATAGCATTTGGGGCCGTGGTTACCTACCTGGGTGTGCGCACAAAGACTCCCGACCTCCTGGGACTCTGTACTTGTCACCAGTAAAAGCCATAATCCACTTGAGACCTCTCTTCTGTTTGCCACAAGAATAACATCAGGTGGCAGAGATGATAGAGAGAAGTCTGGGGCACAGAGCTTGCACCCCCAAGTGTCCTGCCCTCCTAGCACCCGTGTATGTTGACCACCCTGTGGTGCTTAGACAATAGGCTTCAGACCATGTGGAGACTTGGGTTTAAGGAACTTTCCAAAAAGTTAGAAACAGTTTATTGAAGAAGCTGGCAGGAAGGAGCTTGGGAAGTTAAAGGAGATAGAGCATACACTCATCCCAGCACTCTGGGGACAGATGCTGGCACAGTTCATAATTTGAAGACAGCCAGGGCTTTATGCTGAGACCCTGTCAGAAAGGAAGACAGAAATAGGAATCAGTATGTAAGGCATGTTTGATAGGTAAAGGTAAACAATAGGGGGTGGTGTCTGAGCCCAGAGAAGACTGGAGGACTAGCAGTGCACTGCACTTGACCCCGCTTTTCCTAGGTAGACTCCACCCTAAAGAGCCGGAGGAAGTGATTAATAGAGTATTCTTGGGGTCCTGGGACCTTAAAATTAATTAGTTTATTAGAGACAGGGTCCCATTTTGTAGCTCTGGGACTCAAATGCAGAACTCACAAGTAAAAACAAATTTAAAAACAGAAACAAAAAGTCACTCATACCGTCGGTCCTTTTCCCCTTGTCGTCCTTGCTTGTCACTGGGAAGTATAGTAAGCATCAATACTTGCCAGTTGTCCCTTAGCCAGTAAGTGACAGACCAGGATCCTGCTTCTGAGTCAGCTGCATTGCCTTTGGAACCTCAGCAGCACCTGTTCTCTGAGATTTAGGATCATGCATTGGCCTGGATTTAAGGTGATCTGCCTGGAGTTAACCAGGTAGATCATGGTAAAGATCTCTGTAGACAATTAAATGCTAAGATGTTTAGCAATGCTTTGATAGGAGAGGGGAGGAGCATGGAGATTGAGACTGAGCGCACACCCTGGGGAGTTCAGGGTAGCATCAGAAGTCACCATCAGTCACTCAGCCTCTGCCAGTAAGCAGTTAGTTGGGTTTCAGTCCCTAAGGGTGTTTTTGCTATTGTACAAAAGTGAATTTAAAAGAGGCCAGCAGGTGGTACAGCCTTTAAGCCTTTAATCCTGGCACTGGGAAGGCAGATCTTTGTGAGTTCAAGGCCAGCTAGAGCTACCTAGACTGTCTCAAAAAAAGCAAACAAACAAAAACCCACAGAGGGTTCCAGTTTTGGCATCTTATGTCTGTCTCCTCAGCATGAGAATCACAAGTAAAATGGAGCCTGCAGAGACTGGTCACTGGGCATGTGCAGAGAGGAAGAAAGGGCTGTTGCTTTTGGACCAGACAAGCTTGTTCCAAGAGTGGAAACTTTGGGAGCTGTGGAGAGGCTGGTATTGGGGAGGAGTTTTTCAAGACGTGGTTTCTCTGTGTAGCCCTGACCCGGAATTCATTCTGTAGAGCAGACTGCCTCTACCTCCAGAGTACTAAGGCTTGTACCACCACTTCCTGGCTTTCTTTTTTTTTTTCTTAAGATTTTTATTTATTGGGGCTGAAGAGATGGCTCATCGGTTAAGAGCACTGGCTAACCAAGCAGTGGTGGCACACTCATTTAATCCCAGCACTTGGGAGACAGAGGCAGGTGAATCTCTGAGTTCGAGGCCAACCTGGTGTATATACTGGGTTCCAGGACAGCCAAGGCTACATGGAGAAACTGTCTAGAAAAACTTTTTAAAAAATTATTTATTATGTGTACAGTGTTCTACTTGCATGTATCCCTGCAGGATAGAAGAGAGCACAAAATCTCATTATAGATGGTTGTGAACCACTATGTGTTTGCTGGGAATTGAACTCAGGACATCACTCCAGTCTCCAGTCTTTTTTCTTTTCTTTTGAGATAGGGTTTTTCTCTGTAATCCTGCCTAGAGGACAGGTATCCTTTATGCTAGATTGGGAGACAGTCTGCAACAGTGGAGCCTGCCCGTGTATGCATACGTAGTTTTTACTCAGTCTCTAAAGACAGAGTAATTGTTAAAGCTGTGGATTCAGTACGGTGCTACGGGAACTGGGAGAAATGCCCTCCCAGAGTTCAGTGGGATTGGTGACAGCACTCACTCAATCTGCGTCCTTACCTATGTTCTTGCTTGACAGCCGCATCTGGGACACTGCCTCTGGCCAGTGCCTGAAGACGCTCATCGGTGAGTGCTCTGGTCTGTCTGGTAGGGGTTATGGAGGTGGGTGGATGTGGGTAGGGATAGCTTTCCCCAGACCTACCATGTCCTAGTGGACCTTACAGGAGTATCTGTTTTCAAGAAGTCATCTTTCCCTTCTGTCCTGGCCTCCTCACACTCATGGTGTGATGGTGTGTCCACCTTGCCCTCCTTCCTGACTAATAAAGCTGCCTGTGGAACCCCCCTCCCCCCAATCTCCTGCTCATATGAGGTCCTTGGAGTACTTAACATTGTAGAATAGTGTCCTTTGTAGGTGTTTGGGGCCCTGTATTCTCCACCATGTGTATCAGCCTGCCCCTGGCCCCTTCCTTCCTGCAGTTGGGGATACGTACTCACCTACTGGGGTACTGTAGTGGGGGAGGGGGCAGAGTGTCAGAAGCAGGACTTCACGGGTGGGGTATCGGAAGGGTGTTACTTGGCCCTGCTGGAGTTCAGAGCTTTCAGTTAGCGATGTGAAGGTTTGGCAAGACATTCTTTGTGGGTTGATAGGCTTTTGTGGTGAGTTGCTACCTCCCTGGGGCTCTTAGAAAAACTAGTGTGTTGGAATGATGTGCAGTAGGCAGGTACACATCCAGTTCAGGTGCAGCCATTATAGGCAGCTCAAAGAGGTTGCCATGGGGTGGGGAATGCTAGAGTTACTATACTCACTTAAGTTCAGCCTTTGTCTACGGAATAGTCAAATTCTGTTTGGTTTTATGGGGTTGTGCTGTGTTTTTGTTTATTGTGTGTGTATAACAGGATCTCAACTGTGTAGCTCTGGCTGGCCTGGAACTTGCTTTGTAGTCCAAGCTGGTTATGAAATCATAGAGATCCACCTGTTTCTGGAGTGCTGAGGTTAAAGGTGTGCAATGCTATGCCAGAAAATTCTGTGTTTTTTTTTCTTTTAAACATATTATGTGCCCACAAACCAACCCCCCCAGTACACACATGCAACATGGTGTGTTTCTGTATGTGTCAACACACGTGTAGAGGTCAAAGACAACTTTCAGGAGTTAGAGCTCTTTTCCTATTGTGGGTTCTGAGCTCTTTAAGTTGTCAGGCCTGTGCATGTAGTAAGTGCACGAGCCATCTCACCAGCCCTGGGGCTTGTTTGTTTAATTATTTTATGTCTCAACTACAGCTCCCTTCTTCCTCACCCCCAACCCCCAATCCCCTTCTCTTACTCTCCATCCAGGAAGGGGCAGGTCTCCTGTGAATATCAAGTTGTAGTAAGACTGAGCACTTCCCCATGTCTTGACAGCCGGGGTTTTGAGATTTGTGGAATGCTTTGTTTTCTATCAGTTGTTGGCTAAACTTTGGTCACCTAGAGACAACCAGGTGCAGGACCAGGATTTAAATTTGGACAGGCAATGGGAAGTAAGCCCTAGACTAAGGTGGAAATAAGCCCTAGAATAAGGGAGGCAGGCCTATTTGGCCCAAGGTCTGTTTCTTTTCCCCATGTCTTCAGGTTTAGCAACTGATTGTTTTCTTTGGGGAGTTTGGGAGGGAGTTGGCGTTTCAAAACAGTTTTTCTATGTAGTTCTGGAACTTACTCTATAGACCAGGCTGGCCTTGAAACAAAGAGATCCTCCTGCCTCTGCCTTTCAGTGCTGGGATTAAATGCTTGTACCACCACCACTTGGTTAGAAATGAAGATTATGATTAGGGCTTGCTCAACACAAGTCAGTAATGTTTCTCCAGGGATCTGTTTTAGAGGTGACCTGGGTAAGGAGCACAGATAACTGTTCCATGTCAACTGACATTGAATTATTGGCCTTATGTGACCTCAGCTGGCCTCACTCTCTTGTGTCCCTTTCAGTGTTTGTGATCAGTCCCAAGGAAAAGAGTTCCCCGCGAACCCCCAGTGGTAATGTGTGTGTCAGGATGCACCAGTCTTTGTATGCACACTTAGGGCCTGGTAGACTTGGTAGGCTTCCTTGGCTGGCCAGGTAGACCCACTCCAAGACACACCCTTCTCACCCAGGCGAGGGGCAGATACCTGAGGGTCCACTCTGGAGGAGGATATGGTATTTATTCCTGTGCCCTGGAAAGCAGCTTTTATGTGAGCAATTTCTAGAAGACCTTTAGCAGTGCAGCAGCCCACCCGCACCCCTCTCCAAATGCTGAGACTAAAGTCAGCAGGCAGAGGCATGACCATAAAGAATGGGAATGTGTCTGTAGGAGTATCCTAGGCCAAGCAGCTCTCTCCAGGGGATCAGTTGTTCGGAGCTTTGGGCCTCCTTTCACAAGTGGTGAAACCTTGTATTGGCAGGGCACTGGGGTGAAGACTTAGAATGATCAAGGAAGATGTTGGGAGATGGAATATCAGGCTGTTGGAGGGTAATGGTGACAGTACAGGTGGCAGGGGCCTTACACAGATGTCCTGCATGGGTGACAGGGAGCTGTCCTGCCTTTCTACTCTGCCAAGAGTCAACCTATCTTTGTTCTGCGTAGATGATGACAATCCTCCAGTGTCCTTCGTGAAATTCTCTCCAAATGGCAAATATATCCTGGCTGCAACTTTGGACAAGTGAGTGCTTTGACAGCCTTCATTGGTGGGTTACTCTCCTGTTCTGTTGCCTTCTCCCAATAGCTTAGTTGAGGTGTTTTACATTTGTGCATTAGAGCTTAGCCCTGGACAGTAGGCTGAGGGGCTAAAGAAAGGCTGGCTGTCTACCCCAGCTAGTTCTAGTATGAGAAGGATTTGAAGCCTAGGCTGTTTGTGTAAGGCAAGCCAAAGATTACCTCCACAGAGGTGAGGTAGGACAGGTGACATCTGAAGACCTTCATGGGCCTCTGAGCTCCTTGACTTTTGGTTTGTTTGCTTTCACACATGCTAGGCTGGCTTTAAGCCAGTTCTCAGTCTCTGAGCACCTTCATGTATACAGCAGAATCTCACTGTCATACATGCACATGCTGACCCCCATCTAGGTGCTCATTGTGTGTCTAGCTGGCACACTGTATAAGGTCTTAAAGAAACCGTACCAGATCATCCCTCTTGAGCTGCCTGCTTGGCATTATCCTGGTTAGCCTACCACTTTTCCCATGGTCAGCAAGAACGTTCATCCCAAGGACGAGCAGAAGATGCTTCCCTTGAAGTTTGTCCTGGATGGTTCTGGAGCGTGCATTTTCCACATTCTACTTGTGGCTAACCACTGGTTTTGAGAAGAACAGCCAGCAACAGCTTTTCTTTAGTCTGTCTCTGAACTACAAGTACTGTAGGCTTTTTTTGTGCCATGGAGTGGTTGAACCTGATGGGCTGAAGGATCCTCTATCCTGACACCCGTGGTTGTTGAGAAATGATGGTATCAGAGGCGGAGCATGGCCAAAGATAGGCTGCCCCTCACTCGTACTCTCTCTTTCAGCACGCTGAAGCTCTGGGACTACAGCAAGGGAAAGGTAAGCTTCAGGCACGCGGCTGGCCTGGGGCCATCTGCATGCCAGCCCCAGGTAACAAGTGGTGGTGGTGGTGGGGGGGGTGCATCAGACCCAGGAGTTGAAGCAGGAGAGACTAAGAGCCATCTTCTTTTGATAAGCAAGTTTGGTATAACTCCCTTTAAAGACATGTTTTATGAATGGCTAGCCTGCAGGTCAAAGTTTGAGTCTACGGACTCTCTTGTATGTATCTAGAGTATTTTCGGCAGTGGTCAGATGTGTGTGCCCAGAACTTGGAATCCTGGAATGAAAGAGAAACACAGGTGCTAACAATGCACACCCACCTTTTCAGTGCTTGAAGACATACACAGGCCACAAGAACGAGAAGTACTGCATATTTGCCAACTTTTCTGTGACAGGTGGGAAGGTGAGTCTTCCACCGAGCTGCCGTCACCCTGCCAGCTCTCTCCTGAGAGGCCACCCATCACAGGTGGCTTCATGTTTTTGGGAAGCTTCCTTGAGGCTGGGGAATAAACCCAAACATGCCCTTCTGTGTGGACCTGTGGTGTCTTACACTTGAATCCGGTTGAAGATCTAAGAGCAAGTGGTGACTGGATAGAAACTCATGGGGGTGTGGGAGGGGGGTGTGGCATGGGAGGCAGTTGACATGTCCCCAAGTTGTGGGAACAAGAGGTCAGAGTGGTGCCAGGCAGCTTGCTTGTTGCTACCACCTAGTCAGCACATAACTTCCCGGTGTCTTGCCTGTTGTCACTGACTGCCTGCTGTGCTGCTGCAGTGGATCGTGTCTGGTTCTGAAGATAACCTGGTGTATATCTGGAACCTGCAGACCAAGGAGATTGTGCAGAAGTTGCAGGGTCACACAGGTGGGCAGTCCTTTGGGGATAGACCACACGGGGTGAAGCCACCCAGGGGAGCTGCTTGAGTCCTCCAATTGCTTGGTTGTCTCTGGGATTTAGGGACACACAGGCAGGCATTGCTACTCTGTTCTGCCTGCCATCCCAGCCCTGAGGCCTGACATAGCATGTCTTGGAAGTGGCATCAAGGGCTCTTGTCTGGGGTTCTGGGCTCAGTTGTTTATAGATGTTGACTAAGACCGAGGCCTCCGGGAGTATAGCTTGTTTTCCTCATTGGAGACCATGCATCTGGGACCCAAAGGTGAATATGGGAAGTGTCTAACATATATGGTGAGCTGCATTTCCTGGAGGTTCCAGCCTCTTTCAGAGATGCTGGTTTCCATTTCCCAAGCAGAGCTCAGCCTTGAGTGAGGCCAACACCTGATTCTGAGGTGTAGCTATGGGTTGACCTCGTTCTAGTTAGTTGTTCTTGCCTGCCCACTTTCTGTGTGAGGGCAAGGATATCGTGCCCCTTTGCAGCTTTGAGGAGGGGGTGCCTCTTTGTGATAGAGCAGTTGCCTTCAACTGGAAGTGAGTTGGTTACATTTGCTGTGGTTCCTGAGCACCCAGGAAACAGGCGGAGTTAGTGAACGTCACGTGCCATCTCATTAATGCCAGTAGCCCAGCCCAGCCCAGCCCAGGTGTATGGTTACTTCTTGCTTAGGGGGAGCAACTGGATACAAGTTGTGTTGGGTGGTAGGAGGCAGTGGGAGTAGTGTGAGACCAGTGTGGAGAGCCTGTAGACATACCGTATGAGGACCCTGCTGGACAGCCAGCAGACGGAGGCTGTGGTGCTTAGTACTATTTCTGACATTCTAACCCTCCCCTGGCTCTTTCAGATGTTGTGATTTCCACGGCTTGTCATCCGACAGAGAACATCATTGCCTCGGCAGCACTAGAGAATGACAAAACCATCAAACTGTGGAAGAGTGACTGCTAAGTCTTGGCTCCACAAGAGACTTCAGGAAGCCACCCGGATTGGCAAGAAACGCATGGGGGGCAGAGGTGTGGGGCCAGACTGGGGCAACAGGCCTGGTGCGCCTCCTCTCTGAAGATGTCGGGTCAGGGGAGTGCACACTACCGAGTCTTGATAGCCACTGTGACATTTCTTGCCAATTCTGTCCCTGTCTAGGGAGTTCATGGTCTGTTCTGTGCCCAGAGGCCGCAAATTTTTAATTTTTTATTACAAGAGTGAGTTCAACTCATCATGGGTTGTTTTTTCCCAATAATTGTTCTGTATCTTTTTGGTATTGTATTGTCCAGTGCACACACTGGAGCAGGACCTACAGCCCCACTCCCGCTCCCTACCTCCAGCCTTGGCCTGCTTGTTCATGTTCCCTGCCTGTAATAGTACCCAGTGTGTTTCCAGGAATTTCTGGAAACAGAAAGGTTCTAAGTTGTATCTGTGTCAAGTTCCTTTGTATTTTTGGAGTTCATAGGTCAACACTGACCTCTCAGTGGTTGCACAGTGTCCCCTTGTCTTTCTGGTGTCACTCAGTAAGCTATACACTGTAATAAAAGGTGGGTTTGAACCCTCTGTGACCCTGAGTTCTGACAGGATGGAAGGTCATCCCATCCATACCTGGCTTTTAGGGCAGGGGTTGGAAAGGTCTCTGGGAAGATGGATCCTTGCTGTGCCTCTTTCCTAATTGCTGCTGTGGGCACTGACTGTTTTTAGAAGAGGACCTTCAGTTGAGAAAGAGTGAAACTCTTGGACAGACTTCCTGGTCCTCTCCATTCATTTTGCTTGCGGCTCAGAGTCATCTGTGTAGGAGAGAGGTGTTCAATGTGGTACTTATCCCAGCAGGTACAGCCTCCTGCCTTGGCTTCTAAACTACCACCAGCCTCTCTTAGTCCCTGCCCCAAATGGATCCTCTGTCCTGGCTTTTGTGTGACCAGGACTGGGAAGAGGTGATGGCCAGACTCAGAGCTGCACAGTAGTTTTACAACTTCTGGCCATACCCAGAATGGCCTGCCATGGAACAGTGCAGAGGTTCTATGGATATTTCTGGTCCACATAGATGGGTCAGGCTGATGGACACAGGCACAGGCTGCAGAGAGGTTCTGGGTTTGTTGTGGCTGCCGCAGCCTGCTATGGAACCAGGTCATCTTGGTCTGTGGCTGCTGACATGGGTTCTGGCATCTGTTGGATAGATGTGCCTGGGTTCTGGTCAGCATTGAGGGCATGTTGCTGTGGGGTTTCTGGAGGGGTGTTAAGGTCCTTCCAGCTGTGGCCTGGTGTGCGGCTTCCTCCTAAGGGAGGGAGCTTGCTTGCCATGCTGAGCGCAGTATCCCCAAGTATAGTTTATTTTTTCTACAGTTGAACTCTGTTGTAGATTTATGTAAAAATACATTCTCTTTTTGAAAATAAAGGTTTTCATGTCTTGTAATTTTGTCCCGTATAACTTTTTTCTAAAGATTCATCTTGCATACATAGTTGTGTTGTTGCATGTTGGAGGTCAGAGGACATAACCTATCGTTCTCTTCTCCCACCATATGTGTCCTGGGATAGGACTCTTCACCAGGCTTGGTGGCAAGTCTTTACCAGTTGAGTCACTTTGCTGTGTAGAACAAGCTGGCCTTGAACTCAGATCTGCCTGCTTCTGCCTCCTGAGTGCCAGGATTAAAGGTGTGTGCCAACACTGCCCAGCTCACTTTGATGAATTTCTTAGCCCTTAATTTCTTAAGAATATAATTTCTGGGGCTGGCAAGATGGCTTGGGGGTTAAGAACACTGGCTGCTCTTCCAGAGGACCCGAGTTCAATTCTCAGCATCCACATGGCAGGTTACAGTCTGTAATTCCTGTTCCAGGATATCCAATGCCCTCACACAGGCATACATGCAGGCAAAACAGCAATGTACATAAAATACAAATAAATTATAAAAAAAATATAATTTTTTATAAGAACATAAGAATTCTTCTGTAAGAACTTCTTAGCCCTGTGAGTCATTACCTCCACATTTAATGAGATCTGGTATCTTCTGGTTTGCAGGCAGAACTCTAATCCTTTTAAAAAAAAAAAATCCTAATCACAGGCATTGTCACAAGATTGTCTGGATTATAGTTCATTTCAGATATAGTCAAGTTAGCAACCAGGAATAGCCATCACAATCAACCTCATGTCAACTTGACCACAAGCACTTTATATATTTAACCAGGTCATAATTGCACCTAATGATATAACTATCCCTCATTCTACCGTGAGCACATTCTTAATTTAGAATAGTGGTCATGCCCTTTGGGGGATATTTTACTTTCTTTTTTTTTTTTTTTTTTTTTTTTTGGTTTTTTGAGACAGGGTTTCTCTGTGGTTTTGGAGCCTGTCCTGGAACTAGCTCTTGTAGACCAGGCTGGTATTTTACTTTCTTAAACTTAGATGTGGTAACCATCTTAATTGATGTTGCAACATACAAGGAAATTGAAAGAAAATAAAATATTCTTTTAAAAAATACAACAGAAGCACTCATATCAGCTATAATTGCTTCTACAACTGGTCATATGGCATTAGATGGTATTTAAAACTACTTTCCTAGCCTGGCGGTGGTGGCGCAGGCCTTTAATCCCAGCACTTGGGAGGCAGAGGCAGGTGGATCTCTTGAGTTCAAGGCCAGCCTGGTCTAGAAGAGCTAGTTCCAGGACATTCAGGCTACACAGAGAAACTGTCTCAGAAGCCCCAAAACTGCTTTCCTCACCTATATCCCCTCCACACTCTGCAGGCTGGCACCTCAGCAAGTGTTGACTGGAAGCTGTTCGCTTGTTGCCCGCCCGCCCAAATATTAGAACACTGCTTGGCCTATTATTATTAGCTCAGGCTTCTTAACTAACTTTTACATCTTAAATTAACCCATTGGGGCTGGAGAGGTGGCTCAGTGGTTAAGAGCACTGGCTACTCTTCTAGAGGTCCTGGGTTCAATTCCCAGCTACTACATGGTGGCTCATAGCCACCTGAAATGAGATCTGGCGCCCTCATAAAAATTTAAATTATGGGGCTGGAGAGATGGCTCAGTGGTTATGAGCTCTGACTGCTCTTCCAGAGGACCAGGGTTTGATTCCCAGCACCCACGTGACAGTTCACAACTGTCTGTGACTCCAGTTCTGTGGGATCCAACACCCTCACAGACATATGAAGGCAAAAACACCAATGCATATGAATTAAATACATTAAAAAATGAAAAAAATTAAATTAGCCCATTTCTATTCTGTGAATTGCCATGAGGCTGTGGCCTACTGGTAAGGTTCTGGCTGGCAACTGGGGTCTTTCTCTTTTGGTAGCTACACATTGTTGTCTGACTCTGCCTTTTTTTTTTTTTTTATCTCTGCTTGGAATTCCTGCCTTGCTCTATTCTGTGCTGTCACAGGCCCAAAGCAGCTTCTCCATTAACTGATGGTAGTGACACATTAACAGCTTACAGAGGGGAATCCCGCATCAGCAGGTCTTTCCTACAAGAGTGACCCGTTACATTCATTTCTCATGAGCTTTGTGCCCTGGATCATGCTGCATGGACTAGGCTGTTGTAGCTTCCCATTAATTTTAATCACAGGGCACAGTAGCACCAGGAGACTAAGACCTAAAAGATCTGCATCCCAGGGGGCTGGAGAGATGGCTCAGTGGTTAAGAGCGTTGCCTGCTCTTCCAAAGGTCCTGAGTTCAAAGGTCCTGAGTTCAATTCCCAGCAACCACATGGTGGCCCACAGCCATCTGAAATGAGGTCTGGTGCCCTCACACGCAGAAAGAATATTGTATACAAAATAAATATATTTAAAAAAAAAAAAGATCTGCACCCCAGACAATCCTTCATAGCTCTGTTGTAGAGAGGGAGTCCAGTGTCCTCGTGGTAATCTGGATCTCTCCTAATGTTGCTGTTAGTTTAAGGGCATTACAAGTTCGAAGTGACTAGGGGCAAGGCTAAACTTCCAGTTCAATGGAGTGTTTGCTGTGGCTCTTGGCAAGAGCACCCCCCACCCACCCCAGAACCAAAACTTCTAGGTCAGCAGACTTCAGGGTTGTGGGAACAAGAAGCAAAACCCTTCCTGTAGGTCACTAGAGGTGACAGTGGAGCTATTCCCCTTTCCACCCCTTGGTCCCTGGACCCCTGGTTCCTGGCTGTAAAAAGAGTGTACTGTCTATTGGACACTGATTCAAAGCATATACAATCTTCTGGAGAATCCCAGCCAGCCCTCCATGCTGCTGCCACCTGATTGGGTGGTGCTGTGATTGTGTCTTTAAAAGGCCATCCTGTCTTTCTATCTGGCCAGCTGCTTCAGGATGGTGGGGAGCATGGTAAGAGTAGTGGATTCCATGATTGTACGCCTACTGTCTCTCCTGGCTGTGAAGTGAGTTCCCTGGTCAGAAGCAATACTGTGTGGAATACCATCAGTAGATCAGACACTCTGTAAGTTCACGGATGGTGGATTAGGCAGAAGCATTACATGCAGGAAAGACAAGTCCACAACAGAATAAGTATCTTTTCCAGTAAGGACAAAGTTGTCCTATCTGTGGAGGAAGTGGTCCAGTGTTGCTGGCTGGTGACCCTGTGGAATGGTGCCATATCTGGTGTTCCATGTTGATCTCTGCTGCTGGCACATCTGGCACTCGACAGTAGTTGTAGCTAGGTCAGCCTTGGTCCGTGTTGTTGAGCCCATGCATAGCCCAAATCTCTGCCACCATGGACACTATGCTCATGGGCCCATTAGGCAGCGACAGGAATGGCTGGGGAAAGAGGCTATCTACAGAACGGGTCACCCTATCTATTTCATTGTTGAACTCCTCCTCAGCTGAAGTCATCTTTTGATGAACACTTATGTGGAACACAAGTATCTTCACAGATCTATCCACATACTTCTTCCTCAGATGTCTTTCTCACCAATTTTCCAATCATGCTCTTTCCAAGTCCCTGACCATCCACCCAATCCATTGGCTACAGCCCATGAATCAGGGAACAGTCATACATCTGGTTATCTCTCCTTTCAAGCCAACTGTATGACCATGTGTACTGCCCAAAGCTCTCCCCACTGTGAGGATTCCCCTTCACCAGTATCTGTCAGGGTTGTCCCAGAAACGGTGGTAGTGCTGCAGCTGTGCACCTCTGGGTCGGGCCTGCATAGTGTGCAGAACCATCAATAAACCGGGCCCTGGTCTTCTCTTCCTCAGTCAACCGATCATAGGGCACAACACCCCATGAGGCTGCAGATGCATTCTTGGCAGTAGACGGCATTGTAGCAGGAGCACAAACCATAGGCATTTGGGCAACTCGTTCATGTAGCTTGCTAGTGCCCTCAGGTCCTGCCCAGGCCCAATCACACATGTGCTACTTCCATTTGATAATGGATTGCGGCTGCTTATATTCTACTTTACGACTTGGGGGGTCCAGTAACACCCAGTTCATGATGAGCAGTTAGGCCTGACCATCCGTTTGGAGGAATTTGGTACTTTGGGTTATGAAAGCAGCGGAATGCTTTAATAACCATCCTAGTAGGAGCATGGAAGACAGAGGTGTTAAGTTATTCGAACTGTTAGGGGCTCATTCAACATTTTTCAGAGGAAAAGAATTTTAGTGTGTTGCCTAGAGGTCGATATTTTGGTGATGAAAGTGGCTGCCTTTGCCCTTGTCCAAAGAGGCTAAAGTGCTTCTGTTGGCAGAAGAAATATGAAAACAGCCTAGTATCGACTCTGTCATGTGGACATTAGTGGTAGCTCTAATAAAAGATTTATAGTGAAAAGGAGCAAGCTGAGCAGGGTAAATCACAAAAAAATTTTTTTTGAGGAGATTATGGGAGCCTTTACGTTTTAGGCTTCAGGACTTCTGTTCAGGCTTCCATTAAAGACACCAGGATGCGCTAAAGGAGGGCTAAAAATCTGAAAGTTGAAATCTATTCACAATATGTTCTCTCTCTCTCTTTCTCTCTCTCTCTCTCTCTCTTTGTTTTTTCTTTCTTTTTCTGAGACAAGGTTTCTCTGTAGCTTTGGTGGCTGTCCTGGAACCAGCTCTCACAGAGATCTGCCTGCCTCTGCCTCCCGAGTGCTGGGATTAAAGGCGTGCGCCACCACCACCCAGCGAAAATAAACTTTAGGTTTATTTTCCTTTAGGTATGTTGGCGCATACTGTGAGTTCGAGGCCAGCCTAGTCTACAGAGCGAGTTCCAGGACAGCCAGAGCTGTTATACAGAGAAACTCTGACTCGAAAACAAACAAAACCCATAACATTTGTTACTTATATTTAAAAAAAATTCATTTAATGTGTATAGGTGCTTTGTCTTTGTGTTTGTATGTGCACCATATGTGTGTCTGGTGGCTGTGGAGGCCAGAAGAGGGCATTTGATCCTTTGGGACAGGAGTTGTGGATGGTTGTGAGAGGCCTTGTGGGTTCTGGAAGAGCAGCCAGTGGTCTT